ACTTGGCAGAATTTTTAGACTTCATATCTAAAGCATGGTCCATAACTGGAAAATTTCACAAATTGAAACTTATCATAATTTAAAACTTCTGTTTTGCGAAAGACCCTGTTAGAAGGATGAAAGACAACCTACAGAAAGTCAGAAAGTATTGGCAAACTATATCTCCAAAAAGGGTTAGTATTTAGAACATACAAAGAATCCTCAAAATTCAATAAGGACATAAATAATTCAATTATAAAATGTACAAAGATATGGACATTTTACTGATGAGAGGAGAGATAGCAGATCAACACATGAAAATTTTAGTCAACAGCCATTAGGAAAATGCAAAGTAAAATCACAATGAGTTATCACAATGTGCCTACCAGAATGGCTACAATTAAAAGTAGTAACAATAGCAAATGCTGCAAAGATGTGGAGAAGTCATACATGCTGGTGGGAACATCAAATGGTATAGCTACTTTGAAAAATAGTTTGGTGCTTTCTTATAAAACTAAGCCCACAACTACCATTCAATCCGTATTCACTCTTGCACCTTTATCCCAGAAAAATAAACTTAGGCTCACCAAAAATTGAATAAGAATGTTCATGGAAGCTTCCTTTTTAATATCCCCAAGCTGGAAACAATAAAGATGCCCTTCAACAACTGAATAAATATTGTGGTAGTCTATACCATGGAATTCTACACAGCAATAAAATGGAATGAACTATGGATATGTGCAACAACTTAGATGGATTTCAAATGAATTATATTGAGTGAAAAATCCAATTCCATTAGGTTATATACTGTATGATTTCATTGATATTGCATTAATACATTATCAAAATTATAAATATAAAGAATAGATTAGTGGTTTCCAGAGGTTTGGGATTGGGGTTAGGTAGAGATGGATGTAGCTATAAAAGAACAATAGGAGGGGCCCCCGAGGTGACAGCATTGTTCTGTATCTTGACCATATCAATGTCAATATCCTGATTATGATATTATACCACAGTTTTACAAAATGTTACCATTGAGCAAATCTGGGTAAAGGTTTCATGGTATCTCTCTATGTTATGTCTTGCACCTGAATATGAACCTGCAATTGTCTCAAAAATAAAATTTTAATCAAAAATCGGGTGCCAAATAACTTAGCATGCTACCAAATGGGGGACATTGGAATCCTTTCACATGCACCAGCTAGCTTTGCATATATAGAGCATAACTATGAAAAGGGGAATTAAAAACTTGGAGGTCAAGAATATGGAACTATTATTTTATTTTATTTTATATTTCATTTCACTTTTAAGAGATAAGGTCTTTTTTTTTTTTTTTGTAACCGATCTTTATTATAGGCATTCAAGGCAGACTTTTTGACTTATTCAAGCTGTCTGGGGAATCCTTGCACACCCTCTAGCTTCACAAGACATAAACTAAAGAAAATTTAAATAACAAAAATTATAAGAATATTAACAGCTCGAAAAGTAGCCATTTCCCGACCCCCCAAGGGAGTTTTGCATTTGTTTTTATATATGACTTTACTTAAGATTTTTCATAAAATCTTTACAAAGGTGAATAGCTTAGGTAATATAAGTTATGTTAGTACATTAGATCTCGCCCCTGGGGATTTATTTAGGTTCACTAGAAACAACACGCATGAGAAACCAATCGAAGGTAAGACTGTAGAATGTTGTTTTGAATACCGCAAGCAGTAGGTTATCATAAGTGAGACCCTCAGCAAAACTGTAAGGCAGATGATACTTATCATGGGTACTTCCACCTCTCTAACAGATCCACATTTTCCCCTCCTGATGCCACCTTTTTTTTTTTTTTCCTTGAGATGAGGTCTTGTTCTGTTGCCCAGGCTGGAGTAAGAGACAAGGTCTTATTCTGTTGCCCAGGCAGAAGTGCAGTGGTGTGATCATAGTTCACTGCAGCCTCAAACTCCTGGGCTCAAGAAATCCTCCCACCTTATCCTCCTGAGTAGCTAGGACTATAGGTGCACTCCACCACACCAGGCTAATTTTTTATAACTTTTATTTTTGTAGACACGAGGTCTCCCTATGTTATGCAGGCTGGTCTCAGACTCCTGGTCTCAAGCTATCCACCTGCGTTGGCCTCCTAAAGTGCTGGGATTACAGGTATGGGCCACCATACCTGGCCACCAAATTTTTACTTTTTTAAAAGTAAACTTGTCGTTATAGATGACCATAAACAAAGACAAAAGAAATTGTTACATAGATTTCCTTAATTCAGTTTTTCATGTAAAAAATAAAATATAAATTCAAGAACGAGTAAACTGGGTAAAGAGCCAAGAAGTATGGAGCAAAGAATTGTGTGGTATTATTCTGTCCAAAATAGACATTAAGAGAAGGCAATAAGAAAGTCCTTGTTCATTATAATGATAGTAATCTTAGGAATTTCCATTATTTGTGCCATTTAATTGCATATATTTAAGTGTAAATGAAAACTAGTTGTATACGGAAAGCTTGATAAACAACTTCATTGGCAAGTTAATACTCACAGTATTTATCAGAAAGACTAGAACCTTAGAATGCATCCTAACATTTTCAAACCTCTGAAATTCTTTGCAAGTGGATTATTTAAAAACTAATGGTGACAGTTTAGTGGCCTGATAGCTAACAATGTGCCAAAATGTCAGTGACTCAACTGACAGCTCTTGAGCTCCCCTCACGTCAAGCCGTACTATTTCAAATGCTGTTTGTAAAGATTTTTGAGCATCCCTTTCCAAATTGGAAAAGGAAGCCATAACAACACTAGCTTCAAATCAATTGGTATATTTGAATTTCAGTGACAAAAATATCTCTTCCTGCAGTTTATCCCTTTCTCTAGAATGCCACTTGACACATATAAACTTTAAAGTATGTGTCTTTTAGTTTCACCTTTTATTAAAGTGAAGACATATGAACATATGGCAAGTGTCAGCTTCTGGAAACTTTTCAACCTTTCATTCATTATTGCAACTGGAAACTCAGAGGGATTTTAATGCAATTTCTCAGAGTATTAGATCACAGTGTATATTTAAATACATCAGAGAATTGCAACCTCAGTGTTTTCAAAATTCAGATTACTAATGTGAATACATCATTATTTTTCCATCAATAATAAGTGATGAAATGAAGTGTTAACTATGGACATCCAAGTCAATTCTAATGTCAGATAAATGAGGACACACATTTGCCTATCTTGAATAATCACCCCAACAGATGCATGAACAATAAGAAATAATGATTTTTAAAAGAAACAAAGCAGATATGAAATTAAAATCTAATTACTATTGGTCAAATGAGAATAACTAGTCCAAACAGTATTTTTTAACTGTACTAGTATCACAGTTATTGATCAGTGCCCCTATAAAACCTTTACTTCTATTAAGAGTTATGTTTAATCATAAAAGGATTAGTAAACCCTAAGAGAAAGAAAAAGAGTTGCCAAAAGAATGATGGATTTGTTTGTTTGTTTGTTTGTTTGGTTTTGAGATGGAGTCTCACTCTGCTGCCCAGGCTGGAGTACAGTGGTGTGATCTTGGCTCACTGCAACCTCTACCTCCTGGGTTCAAGCAATTCTCCTGCCTCAGCCTCCCAAGTAGCTGGGATCATAGGCACCTGCCACTATGCCCAACTAATTTTTTTGAATTTTTAGTAGAGATGGGTTTCTGCTATAATGGCCAGACTGGTCTTGAACTCCTGACCTCAAGTGATACTCCCGCCTCTGCCTCCCAAAGTTCTGGGATTATAGGCATGAGCCACCACACCCAGACACTTTTTTTTTTTTTTTTTAAGCCTACTAGGCATTTTTCCCAAACACAACTCTTTACTTATATTCATTTATAATTTCCAACATTAACTCTAACATATGTTGTCAGTGTTAAAAGGATACATTTCTGTTCAACTTTTATGCAACCTGACCTATTTCAATGTCCTAGCACACCTGTAGCCATAGCTCAGCTTATAGGTGATTATCACAGATCACAGTGAGAGGGAGGCATGATATTTATGTCAGAGGAATGTTAGCTGCTGATCAGGATTTCAGGAGTGGCAGTTAAATTTTTATTTGAAAAAGACACTAGGTGATTCTGAGGCTTTCTCTGAGTCTGGGAGTGAACTACTTTAGATTCTTCTTTATTTCTCTGAATAAGCCAAAATACAGAAAGCCAAATAAATAATTTCAACACACCCTCTATATGACTATACCTAGCTTTGCTAATGTTCTAATAGCCTAATGACATACACGTTCATGCAGAGTGTGATTCACAATCCGTTGAGGGCTAAATGTTTAAACTGAGATTTTTAACTGTTAATGTGTTACGTAGATACTGCTTCGGTGCATTATCATTAAACAAACTGCATATGCCTCTTCCAGAAGCTGACAAAGATGTGTAGATGTATGATAAGTATCCTTGGGGATACAGAAACAGAATTTGTTATGAACTTCAATATTGGCACTGAAAAACTTGGGAAAATTTTTGTATTGACCCAGAAGTTTTGGTTAGCAAAGCAATCTGGAATAGACTCTTCATATTCTTTAATGTGGTAATGCTTCCTTCCTCTCCCTGTGCACATACACACATTACCTAAATCATCTTTGCAAATGTGTGTGAACCAGAAGTATCCATGCTCTATCTGTCTGTGAAGGGCAATAACAAAATGTTACAACCCATTTAGCAAGAAACTATGCATCCTTTCTGCAAGTCTTTGCTTACATTTTATTTGCACCATTTTACTTCCTCTATAAATTTTATTTCATAGTTTTTGGTAATCCTTGGTAACATAAGTAGAGGGTACCCAGATGGTATCTCTTTCCTCCATAAGCTAGAAATAATATCTAATATAAATTCCAATCCCATCTTTTTATGATTTGGATTCTAAATTTTAGAAAGCAGCAACACATGCAAATATTGAAACAATGACTTTAGGCAAAAGAGATAGCAGCAAGATTTAAGTATCAGGAAGCAGCATGTGATTTATTTGATTCAGCAGTAATAGAATTAAAAGGATACCTGATGACACAGGCGTAGAGACCGCTGTCCTGTAGCAATGTTGGCCGGAACCAAATGGAGTCTTCTTCTTTGCTCATTCTACTTCCATCAAAGGCTATCGGCTCTTCAAAGTCTCCAGGACCAGAACTTTTGTACCACATCAAACTGAGTCCAGCACTTTGGGCAAGGGAGTAATTTGCTCTGATATAACCATAAAAGAGTGCACATTTGATTCGAACAGGCTCTCCCACCAAAACTTGATATTTCTTGATATCAATAGACCAATCGGTGCATCCATCAGCTATAGTAAAAAAGAGAGAAAGAGAGAAAAAGCATTAGAGGGAAAAAATAAGCAATTAAATTATTCATTCATCCAACAAACTTTTACTGAACATCCATATTGGGTCAGATTTTACTCTAGGCACAGAGCACACAGCAATGAATCAAACTAAGAATGGCCCTGCAAAGTAGTGGACTCTGCTAACAATATATTCTTCACTTAGTCTGCTTCTGCTGTTATTTATTATTAGTTTATATCAGTGTGCTGGTTATTGACTTATTGCCTCTTAGTTCTAAATGTACCTTTCTGCCTGCTTGGTGAAAATAGATCTGAGCCTTTGAGATATGTTTTTGTTTGCTAGCTGGCACTGAAGCTTTGTGGGGAGAGGGCAGTGGTGAGACGTTTCAGGAAGAAAGGGATTTGTTTCCTATTTTCAGTGTGCTCATTTGGCAGGCTCTTGCAGCGTGCAAGGCTTCTTCAGCACCTGGCTCCTATAGTGCTCGGCAGCCAGCTGCTTGGTGATGTTTCCCAGGTACGTTAGAGGGAGGGTCTCTTAACTTCAAGAGGACAGATTTCTGACAAATTCTGCTAGTATGGCAACTTAGTGATTATTGCCATTCAGTAAGCTATGGTTGTACCTTCCCAATAGAGTGCAGATCTCTGCTCTGGGTATGAAAACTTAGGGACTTTTTCTTAGGTGTGCTATCTTAGCCCTAGGGCTAATGGTAAAGATTCCACTATTCTTGAGAGCTCTCTTTTGCTATAGACTGAACATTTGTGCCCTCCCCTGAAAATCCACATGTGGAAGCCTTAACCCTCAATATGGCAGTAAGTGGAGATGAGGCCTTTCTTTGGGAGGTAATTAGGGTTAGATGAGCAGGGTCATGGGAAGGAGGCTCTTGATGGAATTAGTGACCTTATAAGAAGGGACACCAGAGAGCTTAACTCTTTGTCTCTCTCCACTTGTGTTTACAAAAAAGAGATCATGTGAGCACACAGCAAGAAGGTAGCCATCTGAGAGCCAAAGACCAAATTGGCTGGTACCATGATCTTGGACTTCCCAGACACCAGAACTACGATAAAGAAACATATTTTGTTTAAGCCACTCAGCCTACAGTATTTTATTATGGCAGCCTGAGCAAACTAATACATCTTTCTTTTATGCTAGCCAATCCCTTCATTACTATAATCCCCCATTACATTTAATAATTATTTGTATAAACTTTCATTGTTCAAATGACTGTTTTTCTCTGACTGGATCCAAACTGATACAATTGAGAATAAATGTTTTACAACCAAACAATATAGAAATCAACAAAACTGAGTTGAGTTCTGGTAGTATTTTTTTCCCAGCCAGAGACAGAGGTAAGCAGTCACTTGGCTCTGACTCCTGGGAGAATCGGAGAAGTGTAAACAAAAAACCATGGTGGGAAATTGGGAGGATGGGGGTGGGGTATGATTAGGTTTTCTGTGTTTTCTGCAGGTACCACCTTCCAAATGACATCTTGACACCATTTTTTTTATCTCGCCTCTCTCGGCACACACATACAAAAGGAAAGGTTCCCACAGGGCAGGTACATCATCATCATCATCATCATCATCATCATGGAGAAGTTATGAATTTACTGTTTAGACAGGGCAGTTGCCCAACACTTAGCAAGAAAATCAATTTGGCATTACTCAGAGTATACAAATGTTGAGCAAAAGGGCAAAGACTGAGAAAACAGGACCTCTGACGGCAATAACATTTGAGTATTGCAAGCAGGGTTAAACTCACTACAAATTAAAAGGAGGGCAATCTAACAGCTCTGAGAACAGGATAAATAATGTAGTACGCAAGGTAAGAAAAATGATCTAGATGAAAAGGAAGATGTACATTATAGCAAAGAAGACACATAATATCATGTGGAATTAATTATCTTCATTTATTATCTTAAAATTATATCTAACATCTAAGAAGCACTTAACTATGTGCCTGGACTTTATAAACTTTTATTTACCCTTCACAGAAATATAAACGGAGGCATCTGAACTTGCTCTTCCCTCTGCCTAGAACATTTTTCGCCAGACAGCTCATGGCTTCCTCTTTCTTTCTCGCCAAGTATCACCTCCTCAGAGAGGCCTTTTGCCTTCCCATCCTGGTCACCTGATCCAGAGTATGCCTTGATATTTTTTTCACAAGACCTATTGCTATTTGATGTTATATTATATATCTACTTTGCTTTCTGTCTTTCCAGTTGAATGTAAACCCCTTGAGAGCAGGGACTTTGTCCTTCTCACTTCCCTTTTTAGACACAGTGCCGAGAATAGTGCCTGCTAACGAGTTCAGCATACATTTACTAAATGAATGAATGAATGAATGAATAAATAAACAAAATAAACAATTGAATTACCACATTATACAGTTGAAGAAACTCCATGTCAGTTAATAAGGGTGAGTGCTGGGGTTCTCACCCAGCTATACCTGAACCTAGAATTAATCCTCCCTACTGCCACATATTGTTTTTTAATAAAGGTGAGAATTTCACAGCATTCTTTGATTTAGTTAATTTCAAGTACCAAATTTGAGGCTAAAATTTTGACTAAAGGGCTGTACTGAGGTACTATCTAGAGTAAATATGCTGGAAGTTGGTGGACATCATCAGTGTCTGAGTCATTGTCATCATTCCTGTCAATGACTACTGTAGAGCCAGCATAACATGTTAAATAGGATTTAAACACTACACAGAGATGTCCAAGTTATATAATTGCATATAATATTTATTAAAACAGTTGTGCATCTTTCCAATTTCATACAATGAATCCTAGGTGGTAATTTTTAAAACAGTTATAATTCTGATTATAAGTGTAAAATTATTTTGTTTTACCACTATGTAAATTACAATAGAATCAAGTTAATATAACTGGCACTAGCTGTCATGGACGGTATCGCTACCAGTGAAAAAGGTTGAAATACCTTCAAGGTAGCAGTATGTAAACAGTAAGATAAAATTATTCAAGTCTCAGAAGATTTGTAGTATAAAGCAAAATGCTTGAAGGTAAGCAAAATGATTAGTCTAGAAAGTTTTAACAAGTTAGTAACAAATTAGATCAAGAGAAAAGAGGAAGAGTTGTACTGGGAATACATATAGATATTATTACACACTTTTAGAATACGCTTTCTGAGAAAATGTTGGAAGAAAATCACAAATTTTCCTTAAAATTACTGTTATTAAATACTTAAATATCAGTGAGGAAAAGAAGTTTCAAATGGTTCAACGTCACGTGCCAAAGAAAAGTTAGAGGTAAAATGAAGAAATCGTACTTTGGACATTAGAGACACTTGGTGTTCATTTTATTATGGAAACAGATGGAGGATGGCTCAGGAGGTTTTACTACCCTTTAACTAAATGCATGCTGTTCAAAAATAAACTATCGAATTAAAATGGTTCAATAATTCTTGGAAAAAGATGGCAAACACTATAAAGAACAATTCAAGACATAAATTATTTGAATAAAGTCATTTAAATGAATGATGGTTTAAATAGTTACAACAAAGCCTTTCACTAAATGAAAGAAGTGATAAAGGGGATATATCTTTTTCTTTGTTAACATTTTGCCTCATTTGTACACATGTTCTCTCTTGTATGTTGCATTATTGTTTCTAAATCAACTGAAAATAAATTAGAGGCATAATGACATTTCATCCCCAAATACTTCAATATGTATCTCCTTGTGAATGAAGAGTAAAAATATAGCCACAAAGTATATTTTTTAACCTTGTGTAGTGAGACATTTTAAATCTTAAAAAGATATGTGATAACTTAAAATCTAACTCTTGATGAACAGAATTGCTGTTGATCCATTCAGTTTTTTCTTAATTCAGCACACAAGCTCTGTTGGCTTGGGAAAAGTCATTCCAAAAGCATATTTCTAGACACCGTTGATTTCATTACACATTAATTGTATTTAATTTCTATAACTTTTATTGCTATTATTTTTTAAAATTATCATCAGGTAATTGTGTACACTGGTAGTATTTAATCTCTTTTTCTCTCTTTTAGAATAAAATACCCTTCTATAAGCCTCAGAAAATTTGCTATTGGTACTTTCCTTCTCTGATGGGAGGATTCTATGGAAATACTCTAGTTCAACATTTCTCTGCAGTACATGTTCTTTCACAGCCAATGGGAGTTTATTAAGGAAGTCATAAAGTTACATTGGGGAGTAGGAATAAGAAGTACCATGATCATTCATTTTTGTTACCACCCATACAGTTCTGGGATCATATATGAAGACAAGAGTGAAATTAAGATTCAGAAATAATTTCTTTACTACGGATGTACTATGAACAAAAGCTACATATGTAGCTTTTGTTTAGCTTTTGTTACAAAAGATTAAAGATTAGAGAAAGTACTTCTAACTAAGTCACTATTACTACATATGTAAGAGCTAAAAATATTTCCATGGTAACAAACTCGGTTTGAATTCTTTCAAAAAAGTCTAATAATATAATTTATACATGTTGCATACTAATATGAAAATGAAATACTATATTTATAAAAGGATAAGTTATGTTATTTTAAAATAAAATTGAGTATCCCTAATCAGAAAATCTGAAACCCAAAAATGCTCCAAAATTCAAAACATTTTTAGTGCCAGCTGACATGATGCCACAAATGGAGAATTCGAAACCTGATCTTATGTGATGGGTTACAGTGAAAATGTAGGTTCACACCACGTAATTTATTTAGCATCTCCATGGAAAATATAAAATTACCTTCAGACTATGTGTATAAGCTACATATGAAACATAAATCAATTTCATGTTCAGACTTAGGTCCCATCCACAAGATATCTCATTATATACTGTATATGGAAGTATTCTAAAATTTGAAACAGATCTGACATCCAAAACACTTTTTCAGAAAAAATAATACTCAGTCTGTGTCTACTTGAGTAGATACCTTGAAATAATAACTGAAAACTAGGGATAGCAATTCTCACTTTGCAGCAACTCTTGTTGTTGGAGGAACAAACAA